TGGAAAAATGGATGCTAAGAGCTTCTTTGGAGAATTAATTTTTCTTATATGTCAAAACTGAATATTGAAACTAGTGTGATTTCCCATAATTTTCCATTTTGGGGAAGTCGGTGCATACTCAGCCAGCGCTTCCAGTCGATGGTGCCGTGTTGCGTATGGAGGTGATGCAAGAAAACCACAAATCTGATTTGTCGTGGGAGTGAGACTCCGTCCCTCGGAGCGCCAAAATCGTCACTGTGTCCCCCCCGACCCCTTGGCGTGCTGCTTGGTGGGGTCTGGGGACCCTGCATCTTGGATGGGGACAAAGCAGCGAAATCACCCCTTCTTCCACGCCGAGACACGTGGATTTCGGTCCCGTCTCTCACCACAACCGCTTTCCCATCGCGATACACCTCGGTGGTTAAAGATGCAGCAGCTGCAAGATTTACTTGGTGGATTCAATGCAAAAGAGCATAAATTGTGAATTTTACGCCCTGCAAGGCAGATATTTTTCTTTAAAGCCAGTTTTCTGGGTGCAGCCGGTACGGTGTCCTGTGAAGAAGGAGGGTTTCATCCCAGCTCTGCTGTTCGTCTCTGGGTGGAAGATAAATGGGCACAGCTGGGCTGGGTGAGCTGTGCAGGGGCTGGACGAGAAATGAGGGATTACGCAGGGAAAAAGGCAATGGATTTGTCTTCGACAGGACACAGCACAGGCACGAGTGGGCTCTTGAAGGCAGATAGATGGAAAAGAAGATGCTGTAGGGAGTAAAATGGCTTCATTCAACAGTTGGAAAAATTTTTTCTTGGAGGTTGAAAGCCGCCTTCCCAGTCGCATTTTTGAAATGCCGCCTATGAAATGCATATATGTGTGCTCCTCTCGCCAAAGGGCATTTCCCTCACTTGATAAAATCATAGACTCATAGAATAGTTTGGGTTGGAAGGGACCTCTAAAGGTCATCTAGTCCAACCCCCCTGCCATGGGCAGGGACATCTTCAACTAGGTCAGGTTGCTCAGAGCCCCGTCCAACCTGATCTTGAACGTTTCCAGGGACGGGGCATCCACCACCTCTCTGGACAACAAATCCCCTAAGTTTGACGAAGCCCTTCTGCTCGGACGTGGACGTGGAGCTGCAGCAACGTTAGGGCTCAGCCGCAGCTGCAGCTTGTCCAGCGTGGGCTGGAGGAGATGTCAAAATACGAACGGTTCCCAGTCAGATCCGGCTGAAAAATGGTTTTGGACCAGGTTTTGGTTGGTGCTTTCCCCTCCGTACGGAGCGCGCCACTTATCATCGCAGATGGTTTCTGCTGCCGGCTGCCACCAGCAACGCCGGGGACGCTCAGTAAGAGGCTGGATAGCTGGGTTTTCACGCGCTTACACAATAAATAGAAATAAAATGCTAAGAGGATCATTTACAGTAAATTCTAGTAGGCGTTGCCAGTGCCATCTGTCTCGTGTGTACGGACAAGGAGTCTGTTTTCATAGAATCATAGAATCATTGAGGTTGGAAAAGACCTCTAAGATCATCGAGTCCAACCGTCAACCCAACACCACCATGCCCACTAAACCATGTCCCTAAGTGCCTCATCTACTCGTCTTTTAAATACCTCCAGGGATGGGGACTCCACCACTGCCCTGGGCAGCCTGGGGCAGTTTTAAAGCAACCGCAGCCCCCACCAACTCATCAATTGAAGAGTCAACACATTAGCCTTGTTCAGAAGGTCGCTTCTCCTGGTCCACCCACATTTCACTGACCCTTTTTCCTTCGAAGTGACCTTTTGCAGGAGCGGCTCGGCTTCCGCTGGAAAACGTGGATGAAATAGTTAACAGAGGGTTTCGAGCGGGAATTTGAGGCTGAAGTCAAACCCTGGGGAGATGTTTTACCCCAGGCGAACAACTCCAGCAAGTGGGCTCCCCCAGGTGCAGTGGGACTTAGTAAAAAGCCCAAACCTATATAAAGGACTTGAATTTTTTTGCACTACTTGGATACTTTAAGGATCTTTCTCTTGCTCTTATGGCCAGAGAACAGGGGCTGGGGCTCTGGAGCGGTTCCTCGTCCCAGTTTCCAATTAGCTGGAGCCCTACCATCTGCAAGCCCTTCCACCCCAGGATAGGCTCTGCTTTAGCTACAGTAACTAAACACCATGTTTGCCAAGCCCGGCTCTATTCAAAACACACTTTAAGACCCTTTGTACACTTATTAATCATAAGCAGCCGCAAACATTTTTTTCACCAGCAGTTTACTGAAAGATTGAAACGTGCAAAGTTGCTTCTCGCTTTTTCTCTCATTCTGGGGTAGGAAATAAAAACAACGTCGCTCTCTTGCTGCTTTTCTGCTCTCTGCTTTTTAGCACGATGCGCTTTATTTTTAATTTCCCCTGCAACCCTCAGTTGGCTTCAGTGGGTTTGTAAAGTCTCAGAGACGGTGGTATGTCCAGCGGACCGCTGTTTGGGAGAAAGTTGTGGCTTATCAATGGGAAACGTGCTCGGCTTGCAGGGAAGCAGGGATGTTCCGGCATCGCAAGGATACCGCTGCCTTTGCCATGCCCGGCAGCCGTGCGCCGTTTCGAAGCAGCTGCCGAAAACTTGCCCGTATCCTTTGTAATCCGACGATAGCGTCACGAACAACTGAGGGACTATAAAAAGTCGCTTTGAAATCAGATGGTCAAGCTTTGGGCCGTCTCCAACAGATGCTTGCAGGAGCCGAGCTTGGCCCGGAGCCTTCTCTTGGCCTCTCTGAATGGTTTCAGCTGAGAGGCTGTATCAGTTGCTAATGCACCATAAATAAACATCAGAGTATAAACCTTGCTAGCAAAATACCAGGGGAACTCCTCATTTTAGGCTGTGCTGCGTGTTGTCCCTTGCGCATGACCCTGGTTGTCCCAGCAGATTTTTTCTTCATGAGGTAAGCTGGCTGTGATAAATGGGAATGCGAATAGCTGTCTGGGTTCGTACGCTAGGTATTTATTGCTAGAAATGGTCAAAAAGTTGTGCAGTGAAACTAACTGTTGGTTAGTGGGTGCAGGGATAGAGTTTAGCATGATAATGTGTATGTAGTAATAATAAATCAGTGTTAAATTAAAGCTTAAATTAAATAAAGCTTATATCTATATAAATAAATGTATAAATATTATATAAATAAATATATAAATAAAAATAAAGCTTAAATTAAAGCTGTGCCAGACGATGGTTTGGGATGGGAGACCTGCGATATGAGAGATGGTTAAATCCAGAGGTGCCCAGCCTCTGGATTCGGGAATGCCGGGGCTAGCGGGATCCATCCCTGGAAGTCGCCTAAAATCAAATCCCCCAAATGTGACAGGCGCGGTGGGGTTGGGGGGGGGGGGGCACAGGGCCGTTATTTAAAAGAGCAGGGGAAAAAAAAAAAGGGAATAGCACAGGTTGTTATTTAGAACGGCATCGCAGGGAGGCTGTCGCGGTGTCCTCCCCAGGAGGGGACGGCCCGTGCGCCGACCCCGTGATGCTCACCGTGTCTGCAAACAGGGAGACGAAGCCCAGGGATGTGACCTCTCAGGGAAGCCGTGCTTTAATAAATGCAAAAAAAGAAAAAAGTGATATTTGGAGTGTACTGTTTGTAATGGCAGCCATCCCCTGGCAAATGTGGAAAAGCACTTCTGGTTAATCGGCTCACAGCGTGTCCCTGGATGGGGCGAGGGGGGAGCAGAGCTCGCTTCCAGCCTGATGTTTTGCCGGTTGTTTGCGGTAAGGAAAGATGCTGGCGCGGGCGGGCGTCGGTCGGGGCAGACACATCTGCCGTGGGGATGTGTCCCGCTCGGGTCACGTGCTGGGGACCAAATTCCAGGTTTAATTATAATCCCGCACCTGGGAGTGTACACCAAACTCCCACTGCTGCCAGCATGGGGGTGAGACACAAACCCTGTAACCTCTCCTCGTTAGGATAATGACTTATTGTCTTGTTCAGCATTCCTCTTGGGGGGAAAATACAGCCTGGCTGCCATGCAGCCAGCTCCGTCTCCTCCGTCTCCTGGCCTCCCTTGCAGCTACAGCTGCAGGCTTCGATGTGGACGGGACCGGCGGCTGCTTTCCTTGGGGCATCCCAAAGCCAAAGCTTTGCACGTCTCCGTGCAGCTGAGCGTTATCGGGAGTGTCCATGCAGAAACCAGAACTAGAAACAACACAGAGGCTTGAACATGGACAGCCAGCTCCGAAACTCTTCCTTCCAGGCTCAAGCATGACCCATAATCTCCTTTTTTCCAATCCAAGCTGTATTTCAGAGCTCTCTGACCTTTTTGCAGCCTTTTTGTCATTGCAATAGGGTGGCTTCGTGCCCAGGTGAACGCTTTTCCAGGTCATTTCCCGCGTATCGACTGAGGACAGTTTAGAGTAGATGGAGGGGTTTTTTCTCCCCTCTTGGTTTTTGCAGCGCTGGCGAGGGACTCTGGGCTCCCCTCCGGTCCCTCGGTGGTTTCAGTGGTACGACAGACTGTGGGCTCCGCTTTCCCGGAAACCCCCTTCCCGCTTGGAAGCGACTGCAGCAGGCAGAAGCAAATCCAAAGTACCGCCTTAGTGGGAAACGGCCCTGAAATTCTTTTTTTCATTAACCCCCCTTTATTCCCATGGCTTAAAACACAAACACGCTGTGATGCTCTTCATTTTAAATAACATGTTTTTTAAATTATTCAGGCTGGTTCTGGGCAGGGAAATGGGAGAGATTTGCTGTGAAAAGGAAACATTTTGGCCAAGATCTCTTTAAAAACTGGGTGCCTTAAATACAGGCTCTAAAATTTCCAGTCTGATATGTCAATAAATGGAAATGTGTTTTACCCAAATGCTGTGTTACCTCTCCAGCCAAGGACGGTGCTTGTTTCCGACAGGCTTGCAGGGAAAATGTTCTCAACTTGATTTTTAACCATTGCAAAGCAGGAAAATCAGCCGAGGTAGATATTGCACGTTGCTGGATGTTGTTCCTAAAGGAAGGATATTCTTTTTTTTCCCTTTTTTTCCATCCTGCCTTTGTAAAAGTGGTCCCTTTTCTCCCCAGACATCAGGCATCCAGAAGAGCTCTCCCTTTTGAGGAAACCCAGAGATCCGTCAAAGAAAAAAAAGAAGAAGTTGGATGATCAATGTGAAGACGACGCCTTCGAGTTGGAGGGTCCACTGATCACGCCGGGGTCCGGTGAGCCGGGGCTTGCTTGGCGAGGATGGGCTTGCAGGGACGGGGTCGGCAGGAGGCAAACAGATAATAAAATGGGGGGAGAGGGAAATGACGTAGTGGTATCGGTCTGACCTAATTCCTTAAGGTCTGTGCAAGAAACGGACCCCAAATAAACTCCACAAATCATCCAGGGCTGCAGCACTCGGTCGCGGTCGCACAGATGCATGCCTGAAGCTGTCACGCATATAGGGGAGCAGAACAACGCCAGGCTTTATAAAATAAAACAGAAACCAAGTGTGACCACTTTAGCACTCAGATTGTGTTACTGAAAGGTTTCCTTACCCTATTAAGAAAGGAGTTAAATGGAAAATCGTTCCTAATGTCAGATTCCAGGTGTGTTTTAGGCAGTACCACCGTCCTACTCCTTATTTATAGCCAAGCAAGACCAGTATTTTATTAATCGCGTTAGTGTTGCCTTATGTTAAGGGCGTAGCTATAGATCATAATGCTAAAAAAACCCCTTTTATTGCTGGGGGGGGGTAGTTTGCCAGTCTGGCTTACAGAACCGGAGCGGAGCTACTAAGAGAATTGCTAACGGAGTAACATTGCTGACGGCGTAACATCTCTTGCCGCGGGCAGCAAGTTGATGCAGGGAGGCGTTTGCAAGCGGAGGGGTTTTTCGGCTCTGCTCCGCGCCTGCTGGAGGTCTGGTGTTTGAAGGCAAGTGGCAGGAGCTTAAACCATAAAGTCGGTCAAGTAAGAGCACTTTGGCCCAGGACTTGGGGAGAAAGCCGCAGCGATGCGCGCTGCCGGGCGGGCGAGACGTGCCTGGCTGCCAAAGCTCTCGGTTTTAAATCCAGCGATGAGAGGGAAGCAGGGCAGCTTTAATTAAGAAAAATATCTTGGAATTCAGTAAACTTGTATTAATTGGTCTTAAATTAACTGAAGAACAAGTGGAGGTCATGCAGCGCGGTTAATGCCACTAGTGGCTCTGGGCTTGCAAGCAGAAAGGTTGTGGCTGCGCAGGGCGCGGGCGAGGGCGACGATGCCCTGGAGCTGCAGTGCCAAAGTGATGTGCAGCAAGGGCTCTGCAGCAAACCATCAGCACGGGTCTGTAGCAAGGGAAAAATAACCCTTCTTTTGCTCCGGTCTCGCTCTTTCTCCTCTCAGTTACTTAAAAATACCCTGGGCTAGTCCTCTCCCACTCCTGGCTCAGGGAGTTTTCCCTGCCTCGGGTAAGCCTCCAGTCAATTTTCATTTTCATTTGGCATTTTCATCTTGAAAAGCAGCAATTAGCCTTTCCAAAAGTCAGTGTTCACAGAGAGCATCTCCGTTAGATTAATAGGAAATACTTGGCCTGCTTTGGGGGAAATGTACGCAAAAAATATTTTTTAATTTTATTTCTTTGTTGGTTTTTCAGCGAGTCACTTTGAAGTGGCGTGCTGGTTTTTCTTCCCTTGTGAATGAAATTGCTTTTGCTGCAGGTTTAATTACTGCAGCTGCCTGTGAAGTTTAGGTCCCATTAGTTAAAAGTCATGTTTTTAATCTGAATAGACCGCTTCTAGCATTGTTCCAACATTAGATTGTGTGCTGAATGCTTCTGTAAAACGAGTTAATATTTCGGGATCTGCTTATTTCAGTGCGCGTGGATTTAACGGGCAGGTTTTGTCACTGAGCACCCCGCACCTGGCAGTGAAACCCTTTTAAGTCACTGTAGGCAGAGCTGTCGATACACCCACAGTACACCTTGCCCAACACTTCCCATTAGAAGACCTGTGTTCACTTGTTTGTAAGTTGGCCAAACTTACAGCTATTTCAACCGGAACTTTCCATGACATTGCCTGCCTTGGGCAAATTTTTTAAGAGAAGCTTCTTCTGAGATGTTTCAGACGTTTGGAGAAGGCGATGAGGAGAACATCCGAGGGGAAGCTTCGCTCCTCTGGAGCAGACACTCGAGTGGAGGCATGTGGGGGGATGTCCATGGGAGAACCTGCCCGATCTGGGGCAAGAAGTGGGATTTTCTTTTGTTGGTCCAGTTAACGCTCAGCCCCGTCTGCTTGAGCCGCGTGAAGGTTGAGGCTGGCACGCTGCGAGGGCGGATGGGGAGGAGGCAAGAGCATCTTTCGGGATGCGGTTTATGGACGGCGATGGTGGTTTATTGCCGATTCTTGTTGGACTGCGCTGCTCCAGCATAACAATGGTCCATGGGGAGAGCGCGTTTCTGCTGCTTTTATAATCACAGAATCATAGAATATCTCAAGTTGGAAGGGACCATAAGGATTGTTGAGTCCAACTCCTAAAGGATAAGTACCTGGTATAAGTACCTGGCGAGTCACCCCCGGCCTTCTCCTTGCACGTGTCAAGCTTGAAGGTGAATATCTCCATCCCTTCATCATTTCTGCAGCTTTTTTTCGCTCCCACCCAGTTCCCTGGGTCTGTCTCGGTGGCAGGTTCCCACGGCGCTTGCCGGTCCCCAGGCTTTTTGTCAAGACATTAATCCAGACCGGGATGCCGGCAAAACGAGCAGGAGCATTAAAAGCATCCTGGTGGTTTTCTTGTTTGCTGGCGACAGACGGTTTTCACTTACATTTTCCATCCTATCAGGCGGTTTAGAATCACGTTTCTGTATCATTTACATTTCCTAACCAAGGTGTTGGCTGTCATTGGTATGATGCTGCTGATTCAAACCATTCGTACTGCTCCTTGAGATACCCATCGCAAAAAGTGAGAGTTTGGAAAGGTTTCTCCATTGTTTTGGTCTTAGACTTTTCCAGATATTTAGCTCAGCTTTCTGCCATTCCTTGCGCACTCGGGGAGGAGGGATGGCTTCGGAGTGAGGAGCTGGAGGGTGGCCCGAGGGGGTGGTTCAAGGCAGCAGCAGGAGGTGGCACAGAAGACCTTGCTTGTGGCATCTCAACCCTGCCACGCGCCCCTTCAGCGCCCTTAGTAGTGCCCTTGGAGGTAGAGTTTGGGTGCATCGAACTGCACGTCTGAACAGGCTCGTGATTTAAAAAGGGCTCAACTCTTTCCCAAAAAGCCAGTTATTGGTCCTTCTAGGTACTGGTGCACAGATTTACGCCCAGCAAATGATGCTGAGCTCATTGCCCAACGTACATACGCAGTGGAATTACTGACATTAGGATGCAGTCGTTGAACCTCCCTTACTTTGAAAATCCATATTTTATATTCTTAACATAAAAATCAATGCTCCTGTGAGATGAATAGGGACTATTTAGCTCTCAGCTATTTTGGGGTATGAGATACCAAGCTGGGTCCACTTTCTTCTCTTCAAATTTGTAATTTTAAGAGGGTTTTTTTGTGTGCTTTGAGTCTGTACGAGCTGTAAAGCTTTAAAAGGCCTGGGAGTAACGTGTGCTTCGGGATCAGTTTTGCACCAAATCGCACCACTTGCTCAGCATATTAATACCAAATTTATTTGGCCGTCTCAGCAAGCTCTTCCGTCCGTGAAATGCCACGTTTCCGTGCCCGGCTGTTTCTTGTAACGTGAATAAAATAACCGTGGAGTCACTTGGGTTGCTTTGCCTGCCAAGTCCACCGGCGCTGCTGCAAACACTCCGTTTGGGTGGTTAAACCTCACCTGTGCTATTCTGCCCTCTTCCGAAAATGCCCATTTTCGGCTTCTGTCCTTTCCTACTCTCCCGATGACTTTCTCTCGCCTTCTCACTTCCCTCCTTTCTTTCCCTCTCTATAGGCACCGATATTCTTTACATCGGCCCCGTCAAAGGTGAGCTCCACCTCAGTAGGACTTTTGCGCTCTGCCTCTGGTCTCTTTGGCTGCGCCCTTAGTTTATTTTCCTGCTCCTCTAAAACTTTTGACTTCCAAAATCTTTAAGCAACAGGTAATACCGGTAAGTCGGGGGCCATTCGTGTCCCAGGTGCCGCAGAAAGGCAGGGGGCAGGAGTTTCCCAGTGCGGGAGACCTGCGCCTTTTCCCATGGATTTGGGCTGGAATGAGTTTTCCGTCAGTTTTGCTCTAGGAGAAGAGCGGAGAGAGAGGGGCAGCTTTTCACGGGAAAACAAGCAGCGCAGTGTTTTCCCATTGCGGGAAAAAAAACGGTAAAAAAAGGGAAGGTCTTTTCATCCGCTGGCCTCGGGTTTGTGTCTGAGTTGGCTTGGTCGGGAGCAGGCAGGGCTTGGCCGTGAGCTAACTCCCAGCTATTATTCCTCTTACCGGTAGGAAACATATATTCGAGCCCAGGACTGTATAGCAAAACGATGACACCGACCTACGACGCTCACGACGGCAGTCCCCTGTCACCCACTTCAGCCTGGTTCGGTGACAGCGCCTTGTCGGAGGGGAACCCGGGCATCCTGGCCGTGAGCCAGCCCGTCACCTCCCCAGAGTCCTTAGCAAAAATGTACAAGCCGCAGGCGCTGCTCGATAAAGCCAAAACCAACCAAGGGTGAGTTAAGGATTTGTTTTTCTGCTTTTTTCTTCCTTTTTTTTTTTTTTTCCCCAGTGTGCGGTTTTAAATTGCATTCTTCAAAGCGTCGTCGCGACTTTGCCGGAGCTTTTTGTATGTGTTATCCCGTGTTGACAATTTACAGATGGCTGGATTCGTCCCGATCTCTTATGGAGCAGGAGGTGAAAGAAAACGAAGCTTTGCTGCTCCGGTTCAAGTACTACAGCTTTTTTGACCTGAATCCAAAGGTACAGAGCTATTTATTTTACTTGCATCTTGCGTGTGCGGTTTAAATTGCATTCTTCAAAGCGTCGTCGCGACTTTGCCGGAGCTTTTTGTATGTGTTATCCCGTGTTGACAATTTACAGATGGCTGGATTCGTCCCGATCTCTTATGGAGCAGGAGGTGAAAGAAAACGAAGCTTTGCTGCTCCGGTTCAAGTACTACAGCTTTTTTGACCTGAATCCAAAGGTACAGAGCTATTTATTTTACTTGCATCTTGCAGGCAAAGGCTTTGAGCAAAGGATGCCTCTGTCTCTGATGTGCTTTTCTGTTGGCAAATCCTCCGCCGCTTTGGAAATTGGTCTTGCAGGCATCAAACCTGGCTTTGCGTGCTCCCACGTACCGGTTTGCTAATGCTTAGGTGTTGCTAGAGATGCTCTTAAGGGTTGCGTAGAGCCACTCTGCTTCGGTGGCAGAGGCTTTTCAGTCTCGGATTGAAGTGTTGCGTTGAAATGAAAGATGAAGTGGTGTGCCTTGAACTGGGCTCGTATGTTTTACAACCGGTCCCGTGTTTTTGCGCTGTGCCGTAGTATGACGCGATCAGGATCAACCAGCTGTACGAGCAGTCCAAATGGGCTATTCTGCTGGAGGAGATCGAGTGCACGGAGGAAGAAATGATGATGTTTGCAGCGCTGCAGGTAGGAGACAGCCTGATACGCTTAGGTTTGTCGTTAAACTTGATTTTGTAGCTTTGCACGCATCTCTATTGATGAATATTGATTAACGTGATAAGTGAAGTCTGCTGTAGCTCACCTTGTCTTCGGTGGGAGCTTGGACTTCTCGTGCTGGTAGAAGTCAGATCGTTTCCCATCTCCTAATCCTCACTTGAGCTTATTAGGTAATTTAGATATTTGCTGCTGATTCCTTCTCATGAAAAGGAACTCGGCCTTCTTTTACCAAGCATGTTTATGTCTATCTTAACTTTTAGTTTTGCCCTTTTTAAAAAACCCCAGTAAGTACACGAGGTTACTGAACTATGTGTTTCTGGCACGCTGCCCCCCAAACAGCTGGTGATAATCTGTGGGTTTCCCAGAACTATTTATTGATCTGTTTTATGAAATACTTGGTGTGATTTGGCATAAATACTACACCTGCTATTGACTTCTGTAAGACAGATGGCAGGCCATTTACTATGTGTGGTCTGGCGCGCCTCGTCACTGTAGGATGCAGAAAGAGCATGCCCGGCAAGAGCAGGGCTGTCTGCTCCTAGGGCCCCTCCTAGGAAAAAAAGAGTGAAAACAGAAATAGAAAGACTCGGTTTACCTCTCTGAGCAGTCCAGAGTGGGTTGGGCATGGTCCTTCATGTGAGATTTTGTGGATGTTTTGGTTTTCTGGGGTAAAAACAGATGCAATGCATCCTCCCAGACTGGGAGGAGTGGCTGATATGCCAGAGGGTCATGGTGCCGTCCAGAGGGACCTCGGCAGGCTGGAGAAACGGCCCGATGTGAACCTCATGAAGTTCAACCAGGAGAAGTGCAAAGTCCTGCCCCTGGGGAGGAACAACCCCAGGCACCAATATGTGCCGGGGGCCACCCAGCTGGGAAGCAGCTTGGCAGAAAAGGACCTGGGGGTGCTGGTGGACACCAGCTTGACCATGAGGCAGCAGTGTGCCCTTGGGGCAAAGAAGGTGAATGGTGTCCTGGGTTGCACTGGGCAAAGCATTGCCAGCAGGCCGAGGGAGGTGATCCTTCCGCTCTGCTCAGCACTGGTGAGGCCACACCTGGAGTGCTGGGTCCGGTTCTGGGCTCCTCACTGCAAGAGGGACATGGACGTACTGGAGAGGGTCCAACAAAGGGCCACGACGGTTCTGGGCTCCTCACTGCAAGAGAGACATGGACGTACTCGAGAGGGTCCAACAAAGGGCCACGAGGATGATGAAGGTCCTGCAGCATCTCTCCTTTGAGGAAAGGCTGAGGGAGCTGGGACTTCATCCTGGAGAAGAGGAGGCTCAGGGGGATCTTATCAATGCATACAAATACCTGATGGGAGGCTGTAAAGGAGATGGGGCCAGGCTCTTCTCAGTGGTGCCCAGTGACAGGACCAGAGGCCATGGGCACAGACTGAAACACAGGAGGGTCCCTCTGAACATGAGGAAACACTTTTTTACTGTGAGGGTGACCGAGCACTGGCACAGGTTGCCCAGGGAGGTTGTGGAGTCTCCATCCTTGGAGATACTCAAAAGCCACCTGGACATGATCCTGGGCAACGGCTGTAGGTGGCCCTGCTTGAGCAGGGGGTAGGACCAGATGACCCTGCAGGGTCCAGAGCGGTCCTTCAGGGTTCGTACCACCGACTCCTTGGACTGAAAACAGCCAAGACGGTCATTCCTGACGCGACTGCGCTCAGGTCTCGGCACTCACCGGGCTCTGCTGCCATGGAGGGTACGGGTCCGGTTTTCCACTCCGCTTCCCAAGCGCGGTGGCTGTGTCGTGACGAGCCCACAGCATCCGGCAGGTCGCAGAAGCATCCCGGTGAAATGCTGTGCCTTGCCTTTCAGTACCACATCAATAAGCTGTCCATCATGTCCTCGGAAAACCACCTGAACAACAGCGACAAGGAGGTGGATGAGGTGGATGCTGCGCTCTCGGATCTGGAAATTACTTTGGAGGGTGGCAAAACGTCGACGATCCTGGTAAGGGTTGCAGGCACGCGGTGGCAGGTTGAATTGCGCGTCCCCTCCTCACCTCGCACGAGGCAGCAATAATCATCCCGAGCTGGGAATTTTTCCAGGCGTCCAACCTTTTTTATTTCCTTCCTCTCTCTCTTTTTTTCTATTCCTGCTCCTACAGCATGAAAAAGTTGCCCACAGCCCAGTGGAGCAATGCAGAACACAGACCCCAACAATATTTTCCTAAAAATAACATTTTTTAAAATACCGAGGGGTAGTTCTGGTGGGAGGGGACCCCGGGCAGTGTCCGGCGTGGGGCCAGCGCCGAGCTGGAGCTCTGAGCCCACCGTGGCACAAAAACCTCTTTGAGCACGTGCACGTATCGAACCAAAGGCTTCGTTTAAGCTGTAAGACCGCCTTCTATTTTTGGGGTGTTTGCAGTTAATTTAGCAGGGAGAGCTCAGCCCGTCCCGCGTGCCCGGCTCCGCATTGCTGCAGGAGTCAAGTGCAATATTGCTTTTTTTCCTGCCGGGACCATAAGACCAAACGGTGTTGGAGAAGTCCCGGAGGAGCCGGGATCTTTCTGAATCCCGCCCCGCCCTGCACCAAGCCACCTTCCTGGTGAAGTAACGGAAAACTAAATTAAAATTAATTTGGTTTCTGTTCTCGCTACCAACTTTCCAAAATGCTGAATTCTTCACGCTGAGGTTTCTCTTCCACCGTTTCTAATTCATGGCAAATTTTTACAGTACCTAAAACAGCCGCTGTGATTTTCAGAAGTAACTTACGCTTATGAAACCCTATTTTTATTCGACTGGATTTCAGCCTGGAGCGGGCTATGAGTGGATCTCAGAGGGTTTCATTTTTTTTTTTTCTGATACGCTGTTTTAACACTGGTTTTCCACCTTTAAAAATGTAAAGCCCAAAAAAACCCCAAACTGCCGAAAAAGGAGTAGGTCCGGTCAGACTTGGCACAGCACGGCTTTTCCAGGCGCTTTGCACATTTATACCTTTCTCCGAGTTTCATTTTAAGTTCTTTCAAACCCTAAAACCCCTGAAGTTTTCCAGTCTTACACCTGGTGTAATTTTTTTAAGTGTTTACGAAGGGTCTTTTTGAAGTTAACATCCATACTTAGCCTGCTTTACTAGCATTAATAACGGCAGAGGTTTGCCATATTAACCGGCTGCCGCAGGGAGAGCAGCGCTGCCTCGGTACGACAGAAATAACGTCAAGTTTTTATCGCCGAGAGATCTTTTATAATTTCTTCGCAAAACCAGATTCGGAGCACAGTACTGAGGAACAGTCCCTGCCAGATAGGAGTGAAGACGACAATGATTCATCAAAAAACCTCCATCCCTTCCCGTAGGGGTTGCTAGCAGTAGCCATTTCCAGATGCATTCGAGTAATTGAATATGGATAATGGGCAATTACTGGATTGTTTGTTTAGATTCTGCATTTTTTCCCTGTGGTATCTATAAACAGCATTGCTCACTGCAGACGGAAAGTAAACTGTCTTGCTACTGGAAGCAGTTGGAGCGGTCTTTGCTTTTTCGGTCCTTCGAAAACCCTTTAGTTTGAGCTCATGGGAATTGCCAGTGCCACCCTGTATATTTTGCTCACGCAAAACGTGAAGATAAACTCAATATTAAAAAAGCTGGGGCAAAAAACCTTTCTAGACTGTCAGCAAGCCCTCCCCCAGTCCCCCGTGGAGGTGCAGAGCAGCATCTCTTCCTTTTGTTTGGAGCATAAGGAAATAACTAAGGGAGGAGAAAAATCCCTGTGCGAACACGAGCCGATGTGACCGCCGGTGACCTCGCGAGTGGGAATTGGCTCCAGCGGCGGCAAGAATTCCTCAAAGAAAAATAAAGCCTTGCCCTCTGGTTTCCAAACAGCACGTCTGTGCGATAGGTTTTTCTCCGCTTGCTTCTTCCGTGGAGTGGATGAGGCTTTCTCAGGAGCATTTTCATGACCCCTGAGCCCCGATGTTGGCCGGTGAAGCTGCCACCGGCTTCCTCCCCTGCGCAGCATCCCTTCCCTCCTGGACCCACCACCCCGGCTCCGCTCGGGCAGGCGGGTGAATGGGACAATCTTTTATTTTCAGGGTGACATCACTTCCATCCCGGAGCTCGCCGACTACATTAAAGTCTTCAAGTAAGTGCTGATGGGAAGAGGTGCTTGTGAAACTGGTAATGTCTATGAATAATTAATGGTCCTACCGCCTAATATCCACTTTTTTTTCATCTCCTGGCCTTGAGATCTTGCTGCACGCCAGGTTTAGATAACCACTTTAGATAACACTTGTTATCTCGTGTGAAGAGCCACCCAGCAATCGCTGTGTAATACCACAGCTCAGCATCTGTGCTCTCTTACTATTAAAACATTTTACTTCTTTATCCCGTAGCGCGGTCCCCAAGTATTTCACACTATTCGAAATATTCGATACTGAAGTTGATCAGTTGTTAAATATAAAACCCAGGGTGTTTTCCCACTGTCAGCGCCCCGGCAGGTACGCGTCCCTCCGGGAGAGCTTGCTGCATCCCGTAGCCAGCAGCGCGTGCCGGGATATTTCTGTAACGCAATTAATGCCCATGAAGTAATCAAGCCACCCTAAAATTAGGAGTGAAACCTAGAAAACTTGCTCAGATACTTCTCCTGGTTTGCAAGAGGCCGGCTGAAATATAAACAGCCGGGATCCCGGTCTGTCTGCCCTCTGCTTGCCAAAAGGAGCAGGTGAAGCTGACTGTGCTCCTCTTCCAGCTCACTCAGGATTTAGGGTTTGGGTTTTTTTTTTTTTTACTTTGCTCTGACTTGGATGGTGGTACGTGGAAACCGGGAACGGCAGCGTCTGGACTTTGAGTAACATTTTGGCAGCCGCGGACGTCTTTTTGCAATTTACTGCCTGCTGCGGCGAGGGTTACGGTGAAAGTTTCGGAGACTGGAAATAATGATGAGATTTCACAGCATAGCTATAGGATATAGAAGAAAAGCAGTAGGCAGTGAAATAGCTCTGGAACAAGCCTTTATTTTATTAATTGTTTGGTTCTGGAGCCAGAACCTACCACTTCTGTTCTGAAAAATCCTTTCTCCCTCTCCGAAAGCGAATTAATAAGGTCTCCGCATCCGTCTGGGCTTGCGGTCTGTCTTAATTGGGGCAAAGTTTCAGGGCTGCAGCCTGTGCCCTGCATCTGAGTGGGTGTTTTTTCCCCCCTTGAACAAACAAACAAGCAAAAAACTTGCTCTTTCCTTTGATGTGCTTATTTGCCAGTAAAATTAGGCACGTCTCGGGGAGCTACTTGCTTGCAAATTGGAGTGCCGGTTGGTGGGGCAGGAGATGGAGCAGCAAGAAGCTGCCAGTTCCTCGCCCGGTGCAAGCCCGAAGCCTCAGGCTGGGATTTGAGGCTGCCCTGCCACGGCGGGGAAGCACAGAATTGCCATTTGCTCCTAAAAATGAGGGCCAGGCGGTACGTTACTGCCAGAAACCAAACATAAATGATGCGATGTTAGGAGCTGGCCCAGCTTTGGACGTGCCTCTTGTCACACTTCATTGGGGAGGAGCTACAATATGTCCCCCAGTATGCCTTATATATAAGTCCTATATATATGTCCCTATACGTGCCTGGTGTTGCTGCAGAGACTGGGGATGTTTCTCTCTCCTCTGCCAGCCGGGTTACTGCCCGTGCCAGCCAAAATGCCCCGCCTGCAATTTAAAGGAGCCCCCCAAAAAGCTCAAGGCAGTAAAGATGTATTAAAGCATCTTTAGCGAAGGATGCAAAGCAAAGGATGGAAAAACCTGCGCGTGCAGGATGGCTTGGCTGGAGGTTGGCGACTTCTTCTGTAGTGGGAGGCAGCTTTCAAAGGAAATTGCGGCTGTAGAGTTTGCACGGGGCAGGGCTGCGTCTGCCGGGGCTTTAGGAGGAGGAAGACCAGCAAAGGCGGGAGGAGGCAGCAGATGCCCCGAGCTCAGATGTCCATCAGAGGTGTGGGAGCAGCGGGGTTCAGGCAGACGCCGTGTTTCTCCCCCACCTCCCTAATTTCCCCGAGCAGCCCCCAGCACGCTTTTGCTTGGAAATGAAAGTGCAGAGCCCCGAGGACAAGCAGTTGGGGCCATTGCGTATTTGATCCCTACAGATGACGGCTGAGCAGCTACTTCTGGGATGGAGATGTGAGAAATGCATTGCCGTGAGAAACTGCAGATAGAGCCTCTGAATAAGGTTTAGAAATGAAGGGGGTTTAAGAAAATCAGAAACCTGCAGTTCTACGAAGGTCCTGGGCTCACGGTGGGATGAGCAGGCTCAGGGTACCACCGTGCCGGGTGGGGCTTGCAGAGCCATCGCTGCTTCTGCAGAGTCGGGCAAAATCCATGTGTTCCCTAGGAAGGAACTGAACCTTTTCCGACGCGGGGTGTTTAAAAAGAAAACAACAAGTGTACACGTGCATGTGCTTGACGGACAAGTCTTTTAGAAGTACCGCTTCCTTTCAGAGCTCGAGCAAAGGGGTTCCACTTTGATGTGGCAGGTGAAGAGGAATATTTTGCAGCAGTTCATGGGCACGTCCATTCGTATAATACAGTTCTCCAGCTCCCCCCACCTTGGCCCAAGTTAGTGGGACCTCCGTGGGATTGAAGAGTCCAAATTTGCAATTGCAGCTCAGTTTCTTGACCCAACATTGTAGTGACGGGATGGTGAGCGGTGGCTGAGCTCCCAGGCGGGGACTATCCCAGGGTGGGCATACCCCAGGCTGCTGACACCAGGTTTTCAAGGGTGAAATGAGTCTCCCGGTGCAGCGGGTTGGTTTAGGAGCTTAAGCCAAACCTTATCACCTGGCAAACTGCGGATTTGCGCGGTAATGTCCCTCAACCTGTCTGGCAGGCCCAAGAAGCTGACGTTGAAAGGCTACAAGCCGTATTGGTGCACCTTCAAAGATACCTCTATCTCCTGCTATAAAAGCAAAGAGGAATCCAACGGGACTCCTGCACACCAGATGAACCTGAGAGGTAAGAGAAGCGTAAGCGCTGTTGCATTTTATTCCAGTAATAGGCTGCTCCTCTTGCATCTTGTTTTCCCACCGCTTTATCTTCTTGGCATGCCATCCTAGGGTTGGGTAAATATGTTTAAAGGACTGAGGGTGACTGGGTTTGATAGCATGGCATATACTTAGACTTCTAGAAAGTGAGTACGTGGTACGTGTGACCCCAAGGGGAAGCGCCGCCAGCTCCCCAAGAGCATGGGGAGACAACTTGCCGTTCTCTGTTTTGTTGTGGCTATCCAAAAGAATTGAACTAACTCCCACGGCGGAGAATAAGTTTGAACACACGCTGCGCTGGAGAGAACAGACCATCCTCTTCCTCCGCTGCCTTTATTTTTTTGTCATCTTCTCCCTGGTGCTGGCTGCGAGCAGCCTCGCTCAAGCGCTCCCTGTGAGCCTTGCGCGTGAGTTTTTAAATTCCTACGGCTGCTGGCGTTTCTTATGTCAGGTTAAACATTCCTGCTCCAGCAGCCACCAAACTGCAGAAAGCTCTTTCCTCCCCCCCCCCCCCCCCCCCCCCTGCAGACACCTCTTTCCCCCCCCCGCCCCCGTGGAGGCAGGAGCAGAGGTGATGCCAAGCGACCTCGGGCTGCAGTCAGAGCGAAGCCCGGCCCGCAGGACCTTTTTGGGAGCTTTTGACATATCTGCTGTGACGGCACTTTTAAAAAATCACGGAGGCGGCGTTGAAGCGGAGCCCGGGCTAACTTGGCTGATTCAGTTCATCACCCCCTGGTGTTTATACAACCGCTTGTAGTTCTCTCCAGACACCGAAAGCGGGATGCTCACACCTCGCCACTGACTATAACAGCGATGCGCCCAGCCGAAATAATGTATAGGGGTTTCAGGGTGAGAGTCAGCACCCATCCAGCCACCTTTTCCTACCCTTTCATCAAAATTTCAGGGTCATGGAGTATTTGCCGGCCGTCAGGTCCATTCGCGAGGCCAGGCAGGACCTATGAGATGAATCTTGCGGGCGGGCGTTAGCTTTGGCTGCATTGCTTTCAGATCAGGTCTTGCTTTTTTCCCCCCTTTTTTCCTGTCACTTGGAAAAAGAGACACCTGACACGGTTTTTGTCCCTGCTATGTAGAGTGTTTATCCCATCGGAGACGCGGTGTAACACCATTGCAGCACTGAGATGCTGTTGGACACCCTTTAGTTGGAGTGCTTTGCTTTTTCTTTTCCTTTTTTTGGGTTTTTTTTCCCCTTTTTAAAGTGTAGTTCTTCACACCCCTGTTAAACAGTGGCTCCCTCATTGCAGGATGTGAAGTTACCCCTGACGTGAACATCTCTGGCCAGAAGTTTAACATCAAACTTCTGATTCCGGTGGCGGAGGGAATGAACGAAATCTGGCTTCGCTGCGATAATGTAAGTTTATCGCTTGGACCGGCCCTCTCTTTGCCCTTTGCCCACCATCAGCTCACGCTCGGATGTGCCAGGTAGGTGGTGTTAATTAAAAGAAAAAATACAAAATGCACTCACACGCGTCTGATCTCAACGTTCAGCGTTGCACGTGAGCACGCGCGTGAATTTGGAGGAGAAAATCAACCCCTGCCCTTCCTTGGCTTTGTCCCATGGTTGTAGTCTACATGTTGGCTGGGTTTCTGCCCGTCTCTGTGTGTGCTTGAGTCTCCTGGGGCTGGAAGGAAAATAAAGGCTCCCCAGAGTTTTATTGGGGGGGGGGGGGGGCAGGGGGCGCCCCCCGGGGGGGCCCCGCCGCGCCGGGCTGGCTGGAGGGAAGGCGGCCGCAGCAGCAGCCGCCCGCTGTGGGCGGAGACACAGTACGCCAGCTGGATGGCCGCCTGCCGCCTGGCCTCCAAGGGCAAGACGATGGCCGACAGCTCCTACGGCATGGAAGTACAGAACATCCTCTCCTTCCTGAAAATGCAGCATTTGAACCCAGACCCGCAGCTGATCCCGGAACAAATCACCACCGACATTAACCCCGAGTGTCTGGTTTCCCCTCGCTACCTGAAACACAGTACGCCAGCTGGATGGCCGCCTGCCGCCTGGCCTCCAAGGGCAAGACGATGGCCGACAGCTCCTACGGCATGGAAGTACAGAACATCCTCTCCTTCCTGAAAATGCAGCATTTGAACCCAGACCCGCAGCTGATCCCGGAACAAATCACCACCGACATTAACCCCGAGTGTCTGGTTTCCCCTCGCTACCTGAAAAAGTACAAGAACAAGCAGGTACGTGCTCGCCCGCTCTCCCGGCGCGGCGTTGGTGTTGGTGTGGACCGGGCTGACCATGCACACGTTTTGGCGGTAGCCGGCGTTTAACGCTACGTGTTTCGGATGTTGTCACTTAATCGGATGCACGCGGTTACTAAAATGAAATGCCGACTGAAATGCGTGGTTTCGATCCAGCACCTGGGGATGGCACCCACGACCTTAATCGTGCCGTACATTATGCGACGGTGCACGTACACAGCCTCGGCAGCGGGGAACCATTTCTTTTCAATACATTTTAAATTTATTTACATTTACTTTAAAAACGTGGGGAACGGTTTAAAACAGGGGAATGGTTTTTGCCCCTGCTGATACTGAGCGACAGTGCAGCGAAGCGTGGGGCAGCTGCCCCCGTCTCTCCCCGCGCAGACGCAGCAGCGATGAGATGAAATCAGTCCCCGGTGCTGGGATTAAAACCCCTTCCCTCGCACAGAGTCCGTGCAGAAATCCTCAGGATCAGTGGAGTTGCAGTTGCTTGCAGTGCTTTATCCAGACTTGGCTGTAATGCAGTTTGCATATTTCTCTCTTTGCTTTTCCACTACTTCCAAATGCCAGTCCTTGAAACATTGCTTCATTTCGGGTTGCTGTGACTTGTGCCTGAACTCCACGCTGCATTCGGTCCGTGCATGACAGGGCTGAACTGTTCTGCGCTGGAAATAAATGCATGACTCTCTGAAAGACATTATATGTCAGGACGGTGGCAAAAATAAGTAAGGCATTGCTCCGTGGCCTTTCGGTGACTTAATCGTTCAGCTGTAGCATCGCAGCCTGTGTGCTTCGGGCTGGCAGTGGCTAGATACGATTTCTCCAAACCCAGAAGAAGGCTGCAAGTCAGAGAAGCAGGAAAAATATAACTTTTTATTGGCACAGCACGGTGATTTCCTGGCAGTGAAGTTATATTTTATATAGCCCTTATTATTCTTCTGAATAAGCCTTTATATCCACTTGGATGGAGGAGAGGCTGCATAAATATACCATTTTAACATATATAATACCTTCTAGGCTTGAACTCAGTAAAATGGAGGCACCTGGAAAAATATTAGCTTGCAGAACTTGCTTACCGTGCAGGTATCCTCATTATAAAAATAACCTCCATCGAACCGTGGGGACGTGCACAAGCCCGAGCCCTGCTCCAAGCCGGGCCGGTGGTCGCGATGCAAACGCCGGGTCCCCTATAGACATCGGCTAAACGGCAGATTGAGGCTTTTCCTTTATGGCCAGAGGCAGAGCTTGCAGCAGCGGAGGGTGTTTGCCAACGGCACGCGTGCCAGCACGGCGGGGAGGGACAGAGGGATGGAGGCTGCGGGAATGCAAGGAATTCGGCCGCGAGGGTCCCTCCGCGCCCCGGCATGGGGTGAGGAGGAGGAGGAGGTCGCGCAGCCCACAAACGGTGCCGAAACGGGAACTGGCAGTAGGCCTTGCTGGAGGATTTATAGAGGCGCTTGGTCCCACACCAGCCCCAGACCCGCTCGGGTGGTGGTTGTCTCCACGTGCCCTTGCAGCAGCGTAGGGTTGGCAGGTTGGGTTTGGGGAGCGCCAAATCCTAAATGCAAAAAACAAAACCAGCCCCACAAAACAAAATAAACGTCTTCTCAGGTGCCTTGCTGGGGTTCGGTGTCGGAGCGGCGTTCGGCCGGCTTGCAAGGGCGGATGCCATCCCCAGGAAGCCCCCGGGGTTGTTCACCCTCAGGGCAAGGCCACCTGCCTCCGCAGCCCTGCAGGCTCCGGCTGATGTTATCCTCCAGCCGCTTGTTACCCGGAGCGGCATCCCCATCATCTCTCTGCGTATCTCAAATAAAAGGAGCTATTGAGCTAACGGCCCTAGTGAGCTATCGAGCTTCCTCTGCGAGTGAGTGGGTTTGAGTTCATGCGGAGGCATGGAGAGGAGCGTGAGGACACGAATTCTCCTCTGAGCCAGCAGCTTCACCCTCCCCTTCATCCACCAGCGGGACCAAAACCATCTCTACACGATGCCGGCCAGCCGGGACCGCACCGGTGCTCAGGCAGGGCCGGCACGAGGGGCGAATCTCCGCTCGCTTGTCCCCTCTACCGTCCTTACGTTCACTTTGGCTGCTTTTCTGCCTAAGAAATTGTGCATGTGGTTTTTTTTTTGCTTGAACTTTGGTTTGCAGTTAATTTACACTTTTTCTTTGCTTTGTTGCCGTATTTCTGATTGCTTTTTTTTCTCTCTGCCTCCTTTTCTTTTTTTTTTTCGCCTTGCCATCTACAGCCAGGCTATGTAAGAGACTTGGTAAGTGACAGCAACAATAAAATTAAGATAAATTTAAGATAAAACTTAAAATAGTCTAGAACCCCTTTGGTTTGGAGAGCAGCAATGAAAAAAACTAACAAAACCCCCACCCCCCCAGAGAAACTTGGGCCCTGTTTGGTTTTTACAACGGTTTTGCTTTTAGGAGATACGAAGCAAAAGCAGCTCCACGTTTATCAGCCGTGGTTGCAGGCTGCAGGCTGTCGTAGCTGAAATAAGACCTCAGGGGAGAAATTA